CTACTGCTACTGCTACTGCTACTGCTACTGCTACTGCTACTGCTACTGCTACTGCTACTCCTACTACTACTACTACTACTACTACTACTACTACTACGTCTACGTCTACGTCTACGTCTACGTCTACGTCTACGTCTACTTCTACTTCTACTTCTACTTCTACTTCTCTTCTACTTCTTCTACTACTACTACCACCACGACGACGACTACGACTACTACTACTCCTGCTGCTGCTGCTGCTACTGCTACTGCTATTGCTACTGCTACTGCTGCTACTGCTACAAATGCTATTATATAATGGAATTTGTGCGGGGATTCTATTCATACTCCCTTGATTGTTTGCTACGAGGGGGGGAACCCGTTTAGCTAATTAAGATCCAACATTACTGCCTATGCAACAAACGAAACTCAAGTTGGAAGCAAATTTGCCTAATGCAAGGGAATTCAAGACACAGGTTTGCCTACATCTGCTCACATTTTACCCTCCCTGCGCAACGCAAAATTGCTTCGTTTCACACACCCAGCCGAGGTGTCTCGCCCCTGCCTCCCACCTCCAACAAGGGAAAAGTGAAATGATATTAGACCCTTCACTTGAAATCTAGGAACTGGTTCTTTTCGAAGGGGTCTGGCTACCAGTAGCTTCTCTATTTGGCGTTCTTTCTACTAGCTGCTCTCCCTCTTTCTACTAGCTCTGCCCCAAACAAGAATAACAGAAAAATAGAACTTAAAAGTAAGAAAGCATGTTGAACTAATCTTCTTCCACGTTGCTTGAGCGAAGAGCTGGAACACTTGATGCACCTCCAGGCTCGGTTCAGCACAAATAGTTCTGATGCTTTCAGCGAAAGAACTCAGCACTGCGCTTGCTTCTGGTAGTGCTCAACCTCGGCACTCCACCAGTCGAGGTCAGCTTCAGAATCAAGTAGTCCTGACAAACATCACTCAGGGATCCGAAGCTTTGAAACGTCAAAGTCAGATCCAGCACGAGGACGTTATCCCACTGCAAGGCTTGAGAAACAAAAGAAAATGGTGAGCTCAGTCCAAGTCCTACGCGAGTTTTCTTGCTTTCAGCTTGATGTTGTGGCATTTGGTAAACCGCTGTGGGTCCTTCCGTGCGGATGCAATGGATTAGCTGGCGCTTGAAGCTTCGATTTTGTAGCATCCCCGGCCGCCTTTGCAACCTGGAGAAACCACGCAAGAACCAAGCTTTGCAACCTGTTTCTACTATATAGCTTCTTGTTCCTAGTAGTAAGGCACTTGTTCTAGTAGCGATGCACTTGTTCCTAGTAGCTTATTGTTTCTACTAGCTTTGCAACCTGTGTCTGTGTTTTGAGTGGCGCTGCTTTTCCAAGCCAGTCAACCCCTTCATCCTTTCAGGATTGCTAGAGCATGGGCTCCAGCCGACAAAACACTTCCATTACTCAAGTCTCTTGGACGAGATCAAGGCTGCGTGTTCTCAGCTACAAACGAAGCTCGAGCAACGAATCACGAAGCACCCGAAGGAAGGGCCGCTGCTCGTGGACACACAAAGCGGCGACTGCCAAGGCTGCACTGCGGTTGATGCCAGCTTGGCAGTGAAACAAGACCTGAAAGCTGCAAGAACCCCTGTCGAACGACGTCGCAAACGGCATCCTACACTGCTGTTTTATTCATCCTCATCCGCTATTTGCAGCAGGACACAGCTTTGGCTTCCGCGACCTTGGCTTTCGTGCGGGTCGGCTTTTGCTCATCCGCCATTTCAGCTGTTTCCACCATTTCTGGGTGTATGTTTCGGCCCCAATGGCATTGTCTGCTTGAAAAGGCTCTGGCGTGACTCTTCACCAGCGGCCAAAAAGAGAACAAATCCTTAGCTCTGTCAGCTAACAGGAATGTTAGGACAACCGCAAACCTAGATTAGATGCTACTTCAATGTGGAAAGGCTAAGATAGATCTTCCAAGCATACAAGGTTCAAAGCCCTCCTCATCCACAGCTTCAAGCTTCAGAAGCGAAATGGAGTCCTTAGCAATCGGAAACCATCGTTCGATAGGTGCCAACAGCACTGAGTACGAGCTAAGACTATGATGACTATGTAATGTCTGCATCCAGTTGGCATTGACAGCATACCGCACGTCCTTCGCGGCGCAGTTCACGACATGCGTCAAGGATGGGTGCTCAGCAAACCTGAGCAAAAGGATCTTTCCCAACATACCTCTTAGACGCACAAACCATTTGGACCCATTTGGCCTGAAGTCTTCAGTTCTGAGAATTTGAGTCCTGCAACTAGGGAGCCACTTCGACCATGCTTCAGGGCTTCTCAAGTTGCCCCCGACATAGAGCCATTCCTGAAAATGCTTTTTCTGTGTCAGTGAGAGAATCATGTTGTTTCTCAGTGTTGTTGAGCATCAGTTGTTTCTGGTTCAATGTCGCTGTCTTAGTGTCGGCCACACCCTCAGATGAGATGCGCTGGAGTGAACACGATCGCTGCCAAAGGACGTTTGGAGCCTAAGGCCTACTTCTCCTCGGCAATTTGGAGTAGTATGCATTTTTCTTAGGTGGCATTTGGATTCACGGAAAAGGAACACAAAATACAACTTGTGCATGTCTAGAGAGGTCATAAAAAGGTCATAGAGCCTCTTTGGAAAGCGCAGCAAATATATCGGCATTGAAAAAAAGCACTAAAACTCCTGGTCAAGCATCGGTGATTTGCGTGGGCTGCTCCGAGGAGTGTCCCCAAGACATACGACGGAGCTCCTCGATGCGCTCCATCCACCCTTTCAGCTCCGAGTCCATGGACTCGTAGGACGCGTTGAACCGGGACTACTAGGAATGCCCTTGTTACTAGTAGCTTCTAGCTCCTAGTAGTAAGGCCAGGAGCCCCTAGTGCCCTGCCCTGTGGAGCCAAAGGATTTCTTGTATTCACCAGATTCGTGTACAATGTGAACTCGACGCGTCGACTCATTCATGATTTTTCACGACCTTGTCGTTGTTCATGATTCCAAAGCAGCTAGCACATCTTCGCTTGCGTGTAAAAAGTTCTGAGATCTTGAGTTGCTGGCCAGCATCACTCTGGTCATCAGGCCTCGAAGTTCATCGCTCGATTCGTCATGAGGCTTCGGCAGTCTTTGCCGAAGTCCAAAGTGTCACCGGGCCCCCCAACAAGCCACCCTCAGGGCCATATTCTTCTAGAAAGCTCCTCGCCTTGGTGAACAGAACCATCTTGTTCTAATTGCTTTGTGGTATGTACTTGTGAATGAATGCCTCCACCACACACAATGGGCAAAAGTCGTTTCAGTTTCAACTGCGGCGGACCAAGTGCTCAACGAGGCCATATGCCTCTTTGAAGTTCTGCTCAGCCTATCCAACTGGCCCCATCTTGTTAGAATTCATTACCAGACTTTAGAAGTGTCTATGACACGTACTTTTAGACACTTTCAGATCCATCGGGGCTATGGCACTATACGTGTTGGTTCGATGTGCATTGCACAGAGGGGTGCTAGACGAAAGAACTCGCACAGAGACAATTTGTGCGCTCTACCCAGACATGTTGTGAGGAAAGGCTGCTTGAAAGAGCACTGCGCAAATTCACAAAGATTCACAAACATCCCGGCACCGTGAATACCGCGGGTTTGGTTGAGTGATTTTGTATTGGAGTGAAACATAGTCGGAACCTCGAAAACTGTCGGCGTTTAGCATGTTTCTTTCTGATCAGTACCTAGAAGTCATCACAATTATATACAATAGGATTCAATTTCAGGCAGTTTTACATTTTTTACAGTACTCGGGAGATCTTGTGTCATGAAAGCGGTAGTAAGATTTGAGTCCACGAACGAGCTGCTTCGTCGTTTTCTCAGGGAAAATGTACCATAAAAGGGGACGGTGGCACTCCTTTTCACGACAGTTTCGCAAAAGCCTTCGCAGTCGCAGAGCACAGGTCTTCCGTGCTAGCATGTTCGATCCGCCATTGCCAACTTCGAACATATGTCGTGATCTTCGTGTTAAAGGCACCACCAACACGAGTCCTCACGAGTCCTCAGTATGTCTTTTTAAGCCATCTTCCAGTCTTCCAGGCATTATGAATGCCGCCCGTGTGGGCATCCAATATCTTTTCTTTGGCCATGGTTCGATTCACAAACACAGCAAAAGAAAAGCACCCCAAGTGGCACACTTAAAAATAGAAAGCGATGCCAAAAAAGAAAGCGCCAAACAAAACTGCAACACAAAGCACTCTTCAAATCAAAAAAAATTACAGTAATACGAAAAAGATCCTAGCATCTTTCTGGCGTAGAAAACTCAGCTGAGTGGCCGCATGTCTTGAAATGGCTGGGGATCGTACGAATGACGCGTAAAATAGAATCGACAACGGATGCATACGGATGTGCATGCCATGTGCGCACTCATGCAGATGTACATGCCATGTTCGCTACATACACACGTATGCTATTAACCTCCCCACCCCACCTGTGCGTATGTGCCAAAAAAACAATTATTGCTAATCCCATTGAAAAAATGCAAAAATAAGGGAAAACTGAGAAGTATGTGGTAGAAGAACGTACCGTGGTGCCATGTAAATAGTCAAAAAATGCTGCATTGTACAATGAAAATGAAACCATGTAGACGGTGATGATGTTGGTTCCAACATGCATGCTATCATGCCCGCACTGGTAAAATGCGCGGTTTTCATGCCGTTGGCACAAACATGTCTTAAAGTGAAATTTTCACCACATCACCGGTGCAATCTTCACAGACTCTTTCGCAACGCCGAGATCTTTTTCCGAGGTCGCCTGGCGATTTCGCTTGTCCTGATCAAAGAGCTTGATGGACTCTCGACGTGCAAAGGCCTGGCGAAAGAGGAAAAGAAAAAAAGAAACATGGACTGAAATGACTCAGAAAAGTAGCACACGTCTCAGAAAATCAGGCAGGCATCACATCTACCTGGACAGCAAAGGAGGACAACCGTGCTTCTTTGATGTGTGAGTCGCAAAGATTCGTCTGCCACAACCACATGTTTGCCAAAAATATCCAAACTCATAACACAAAGTGGAAACAGCTTTGTGAACTAGCATCCGCCTCTTCGTGGAGCTTTCGGAAGAGTTCTCCTAAGCTTTGCAGGTCCATGAGAGATTCCACGGACGCGAAGCTGCCAACCTCAGACGCAAAGGATTCCATTGAACTCCGTCGGGGTCGAGAGCAAAAATGCAAAGCGAATATGCCAAAATATGACAGACTACAACGGACTTGGGTCCTTGCCACTGGACCCGAAGGCTCCTATGAACAGATTCTGCTACACAAAGGTACTGAATCCCTCAAACTTTGCACTTAATTTTTTGTTTCAAGGTATCTCTCTGAGCCACTCCTTGGCTCGAGCTCCTGCCTGCGGAGGGTGACATGGGAACATAGAAAAGGTTAGAGGTTACGTTCATTCCTAAGTCTCATGCTGGTGTTCTTGTTGTTCGCACGGTTCTCGCTCTCTCTCTCTCTCTCTACACCTCTCTCTTCTTTTCCCCGAACATCTTCTTACTGGTTCCATGCACGCGTTTCTTCCCCAAGCCTGCGGAGATGCAGTGCGAGAGGATTCGGAGCTGCGAGCTCGTTCCTTCAAAGCAGAGCAAAGCATGTCTCTCAAACAGTATAAAACTCTGCTGGCCGAAAGGGGAAACAATGTTTTTGTTTTCCAGCCTTAAGACTGCAAAATCTGCTCGTATCAAAATGACTGTTGCTTCGTGTAACATGTTGCACATCCTCTAATGTGGCTGTCGCCAAGCTCAGTGGGTCTTGGGAGTCCAACCTCCTCGCGAGGCTCTGGGGGCGCTTCTCCAGTGTCAGCACCTGGAGAAAGCAAGTCGGAGAGAAATCGTCCAACCAAATCCCTTTTCTTCGATTAGTAACAAGAAGCTAGTAGGAACAAAGTGCATCGCTACTAGGAACAAGTGCCTTACTAGTAGTAACAAAAAGCCATTAGAAACAAGTGCCTTACTACTAGGAGCAAGAAGCTACTAGGGGCTCCTGGCCTTACTAGTAGTGACAAGAAGCTAGCTCGGGTCCCACCAGCATCCACATCTTCGCTTGGGGGCGTTGCACCAGGGGCTGTGCGCTTCTTCAACTGGACAAGCCACGAATCGTCTCGAAGGCTCGGGCAGACCCAAAAATCATCACATCTAATCTAAGTGCAAGCGAACCTTGCTGTGTCCCAATCACAAGCAGTGTGCAAACACTCTATCTATCTATCTATCTATTTATTTTGTGTGTAAACACTCTGTGCATCTCTGTGCGCCTTACATTGAACACGCGACATGACATTGAAGGCTATCCTTGTGTTTACTTGCCTTAAACCAGCTAAAATTATATTATGCATACGTGCAAATCTCAAAGCGAGTCTCTTCTTCCATTGATGAAGTGATATCCTGCAGTGAACCTTTGTACAACTGCAGTTCAGACTTCAGCTTGCACAATTGAAGATGAGTTCAAGTTGACTCCATCTAATGGAGATGCTCTGGCTTGATGCAAAACGATCACAAGCATGGAGAATTGAGTCCGGGAATCTTCTGTGGCCAACCTGGATGACAATGGGCGTTGTCCGCGACATGGACAGGCCTGGCAATATGTCACACTCCCCAGCCGTCACATTTGGCTGCAAAAGCGGCAAAAGCGCTAAATCTTGCCTGGAGCTTTGGGCTTCCCGTCTCATGGGAATGCAGTGCAAAGCTTTGAGCCGAACCAGGTGACAAATTGCTGAGCCTTCCAAAAATCATGTGTAATCAGGCTGCAGTAGCTGCTTGATCGCCTTGTTGTTGTACTGCCTTCTTCCGCTAAGTCATTCGTACAGTAAATGAGAGAAAACATAATTGTCGGACTCCAAATCTGCTTCCTGGAAGTTTCAACTAAGCTTGCGAAGCCATCTTTTATTTGCGATTGTGCGGTGGACTCCTTTGAGATTCAATACGGGAGGGATGGTGCCAATGGCAGCACGAGAAACGTCCATCCACCCTCTGGCAAGCAGCCGAGCAAAAAGCAAGAACATTGCCCTTTGGAGTTTAGATCCTTCATAAGACTCTGCTTGAGGCTTGAGAAACGACTGCGGCCCCTTCTTGGATGGTGGCCGTTTGTAGTTCTGTGCCTGGAGCACACTTAGTGAAACTCAGGGGCTACAGCTACAGTGCAAGAACTCTGCAATGCTCACCAAAGAATCTACAGAGAGTTTAGAATCGCGAAGCACAGTGAAGCGCTCTGAATATTCTTTACCCTTATGAAATTGAAAGGGGACGCCCCTGGATGCGAGTCTTGCCAGTCTTGCCTTGGCTGTCGACTTGTGATCTCAGACTCTCAGAGAATTTCAGACGATGAAATGAATTTCCCAAGGGCGGGCTTTGATTTCCAACCTACACCTCTATGTATAATGTGTGAATATATACAGTAATATACAGTAGAACGTTTGTCCATAGGCTGATGTTGAAGTCAGATATCACAAAAAACAGCCCAGCAGTTCGCATTGGCGTAGCAACTTTGGGCCACAACTTCGCGTGATTGTCTCTGGCTTGACCTAGACATCACCAAGAGGTTTGGCAAAGGTTGCCATCGAAATCACACTGCAAGGAGCATGACACCCCAAATCAACTGACCTCAACGTGCCCTGGGGATGCTTGCAAACAATCTAAGCAAAACTATAAAGGTGGGTCTCCCACTTAATCATTGTCAGAAGAACTAGTCGTCCAAACCCTCAAAGCATACAAGGTCCTATGTATGCTTGGCAAAGCCAAATGGCCAGAACGTCCCCGACCGTATCGGATTTCAGAGCGGAGCCACGCCCTTCAGCCAGCTCTCGAACTCTCGACGCCAAAGGCGGTGAAACAAAGAAACGGAGCCTGATCGTGTGTGAACTGAGATTGGATGATCAGATTATATAATATAAATATGCATAAACAGGTGTAGAGGTGAGTGGCTGCTTGTTTTACTTGCTTCTTGAGCTTTGATCACAGCGAGAGCAAATAAGGCCGTCAGCTTTGCATCGGACTTTGTGCCTGGCTCACAGATCAAAGAAGAGGTGATCAGCTTCTTCCTCACAAACTCCACAAAAGGGTGCGCGCAGCTTCCTTGTGTCGTCTTCGCGGGGAGGAGGCAAGAACCAAAAAAAGCAGAACCATTGCCCAAGCAAAGAGGCAACTTGGGAAAATGAGCTGAAAAGTATTCTTGACTGGCCTCGGCATACCGAACCTGACCCGTTCTTCCAAAGCTTCTAATCATCGTCCTAAAGCATTCTTCGCATGTTCTGCGAATGTTGCAATTCAAAAAACGTACAGTCCTCATCCACCAAGTCTTTGAACATTTCTGGCTTTACGTAGCCAGTGCCTTTCCTGTCCTGCAACTCGTCAAACATATTGCCGAAATCTTGAAAAATAGAAGTAAAAACTTTCTAATCGCATGCTTCAGAGTACTCTCCCACTTGTCCCAGCTCACTTCACAAGGCTCCTTCGTGCGCTGCGTCTTCACTTCACCAGGAACTCCACTGCTTTCTGCAGCCGCCTGTGCAACAAAACTTGGCAACGATTTTCTGGCGTTCTTCCTCTGCACGGTACTCGCCTCCTGCTTGCAACAAATATTGTATACAACAAAGAGTGCAAAGCCTCATAAAGTCTGGTGAATATGTAAAACCTGCAAGGCACTGCAAAGCGCCTCCTCATTAAACTGCACATGCTTGTTGTCCTGGTGAGGCTTTTTTCATCATTGTGAGCTGGAAGAGCGTCACAAAACATTAGCATCAGCACAAAGCCCTTCCCTGACAAAGGGAAAGGCTACCAGCTACCATGAATCAAACCATTGAAGAAGGGATGCGGATATATGAGAGGCAAACTGTCATAGGCAAACTGTCATAATAAGCATATATAACAAAAATTGTAACATGCCATTCAAGTCTTCCAAACCTTCCAAAGACAAAGAGATCTTGGCATGACGTCACAACAACCCGATCCTTGAAGGTAGCATCAGTCAGGTGTGCCTTTGCCTGGTGCATGCAAAGAAGAACATGAGTTCTTTCAACATGCAACGTTGAGGAATCTATGACAAACAAACCATGAGGGTCATGAGGGTGTTGTAGCATATATTTTTGTGTTTGCTGCTTTTTGTGGTGGCTGACAAGATCTTGAGGTACTAGTACTCAAACAAGAAGCTTCGCAGCTTTCTAGTTCCGAGATGGCTTCGTCCGTCTCGGTATGAAAAACATTGGCATTTGAAGAAATCACCAGTCGCAGGCTGCCCAGAAGAACTGCTTCGATTTCTTTCTTCGCGACTCTTTTCTTTCCAGCCTCTTCTCTGACATTGTCGGCTGTGAAGCAGCAGGCACTGGCACCCATTGCCTGAGAGATTGCAGAAGTGAATAGAGTAAAAGTATAGCGGGTTGAGCCGGTCAAAGCGCAACACTCTGAGCCCCGGGCCAGCACTCAGCTGGAATGTAGCACTTTGAGTCTAGAAATTCAACCCAAAGGACTAAAGGAAAAAACAGGAAAAAAGCGGAACAGCTTGTTTTCATCATGTCTGTTCTTCTTCTAGACTCTACAGTCATCTAGAAGTCCTACGTGGTGCTCTGCTTGTTCTTGAAAACTTGGCTGTTGTTTTCCGGTCCTGAGGGGCTCTCCTAGGCTTGCATGAGGTAGCTTTTCCAGAAAACCTTTCTGACGGATTTGACCCGTCTCCTGAGAGCAAACGCCAGCCGGACCCAATCAACCAGCATTGCATTTTCACCTCGCCACCCACGGCATGGGGGTTCACACGGTCCATTCAAACGGTCCTTTTTCTGCTGAAAACACAGGAGTGAGGCAGTTCCAACTGCATTGCCAATCACATTCTCTTGCTCGGCAATAAGAGTCCTTGAATTGCCTCCCTGAGATTGGCTCCCTCTTCAGTACCATCCATGAAGATCAGAAAGCCATGAGCTTATTGATTAGAAAATCGAAGCAAGCTAAACTGGAGTCTGAAGCGGAGCAAAATCCTCCGGCCTTGAGAAGTCGCAACCGCAGAATGAGAACGAAAAATTGTCGTTCGTCCGATCTACGACATCTTCCCACTGCAAGAAATATATACTGCATTACTTTCGTGAGGCAATGCAACCAACATCTCTATTCCTTACTGTTAATGTGATACCAGTCCTTGCGGTGGTCGATGTGCCATCCTAGGCTCTCCAACTTGTGGAATAGCCCCCCAGCATTTTATCCAAAGCTAGAAGGCAAAAGCGAATGATGCGCTCAGGTCCACACGCTGGGTTTCACCCAGTGAACTACATCCAATAATGATGGGAGTCTTCAAAAATATGGAGCAAATGGCACTGCAGCAAGAGTAAAGTTGATCTCAGATCTCCCATTCAATTTTGGATGTCTCTTATTGAAAGTCGCCTAGGGCCCAAGACACAAAAGAAAACTTCTGGCACCGGTACCGTGCCGGTACCGGTTTCCTTCGCTCAGGCTGATAAAACCTTCCAAATGACAGCCAAAATGCTATCGCAGTAGGCCGCAGAGTGTCACAATTCGATGAGTGATTGCCGCTGGCCTAAGTTTCGGCCTCCCACTCATTCGACAGCTGCCCAATTGGCTCCTGCATCCAAACCGAAAGAACGCACGTCATGGAACT